AACTGGGCAGATCTCCAGGGAGGAAGAGGAAGCAGCAAAAGAGACCGGAGAAGCTGATGAGGAAGAAGGCAAAGCAGGCAAGTGTCTAGAACCAGGGTAACACCTGGTAGCTACTAGCCACATGGGGCCATTTGAACTAATTTTAAAAAATTAATGTTTAACATTTATTCATTTTTGAGAGACAGAGCGCAAGTGGGGGAGGGACAGGGAGAGAGGGAGACACAGAATCTGAAGCAGGCTCCAGGCTCCCAGCTGTCAGCACAGAGCCTGACGTGGGGCTCGAACTCACAAACCCTAAGATCAGGACCTGAGCTGAAGTTGGATGCTTAACTGAATGAGCCACCCAGGCGCCCCTGAACTAATTAAAAATTTAAATTCAGTTCCTCAGCCACACTAGCCGCATCTCAAGGGCTCACTCCACGTGGCTAGTGGCTACTGATTGGACAGCACAGATAGACATAAAACGTTTCCACCGTCACTAAAGTTCTATTGTCACTAAAGTTCTATTGGCTGCACTGACCCAGAAACCAATTGAAGAAAGTATCTCAAGGACAGGGAATGTGTCCAAAGCTGCCAATGAGTAATTTAAGGGCTGAGACTTGACCATCAGGTTTAGTTATGAGTAAGTGACCAGTGACCTCTAGACTAGAGAGCAGTATGGGTAGAGTGGGAGGCTAAGCCTGATAGAAGTGTATTCGGGATAATCTGGAGAGGAACTAGAACCAGAAAACATACTTCATTCTTGACCCTGAGGTCAAGGCCGCTGTCTGCAGGTACTCTGTAGGCCATATCCATGCTAACACTGCTACTGTGAAGGGCCGGACAGGCCTGGCGTGGGGCTCCCAGGGCTACAGATCCAGATCCGTCCAAATCTGCTACAGGAACAGCTCAGGACCATGGACATCACCACTGGACTCACATCCTGCTTTGTTTTCTCCTGCCATGGGGCTGGGTCTCGTCACATTAGGAGAGCTACAGGAAACAGGAGTGAGGCAGACCGTTCCCTCCTTCACCTTGTGACCTGACGCCCCCCCAGTCTGGTCCTAATCATGTCTGCTGAATTCCTAGCTGGCCTTCCTTGGATCATGGCCTTCAGTTACAATGACCTCTTCAACCATCATGACCTCTTGATTTCTCAATGGTGACATCCTGGGACCACATGTATCAGTTTAATAGGCCCTGCTCTGTAGGCCCCCGCCCCCCCAACAATGTCTACTCAAGTCTTGAATAAAAATATAGACACCTGTTTCAAGGTTTGCAATTCAAAATAACTCAGGTGAACTTGCCACAAAATAGTTGTTGAAGCTGTGCCAAAGACAAATACAGCTGTCATGACTGACAGTTGAATCTTTGTGATGCTTAAGAACCCATGGCCCAGGGGCACCTGGGTGGTTCAATCATTTAAGCATCTGACTTCAGCTCAGGTCATGATTTCATGGCTTGTAAGTTTGAGCCCCACATGGGGCTCTCTGCTGTCAGCAGAGCCTGCTTTGGATCCTCTGTCTCCCTCTCTCTCTTTCTCAAAAGTAAACATTCACATTTACACACACACACACACACACACACACACCATAACCCAGTGATTTTCTACCAGTGATTCCAGTACAATCATTTGAAGAGCTCTAAAAACACAGTTGTCTCTTCTCCTCCCCCAGCGACTGAGGGAACTGGGAAGGGACCTTGGCATTGTTTATATGAGGAGTTTTGCTTTCTTTTTCTATTTCTTTGGATGATTCTAATATACAGCTCCTGTTCAAGACCTATTCAGTCTTAGACCAAAACAAAAATACTAATGCACGATTCCCGATCATGGTCCAGAATTTTACGGACCTTAAAAATATATTGGAGAATTTGGGCGCCTGGGTGGCTCAGTTGGTTAAACGTTCCACTTCAGCTCAGGTCACGGTCTCACGGTCTGTGAGTTTGAGCCCCAACGTTGGGCTCTGTGCTGACAGCTTAAAGCCTGGATCCAGCTTTGGATTCTGTCTCCGTCTCTCTCTCTCTGCCCGTCCCCTGCTCACACCTCTTTCTCTCTCTCAAAAGTAAATAAACATCAAAAAAATTTTTTTAAATATTGGAGAATTTATAAAGTGATGGCACACACTTGATGCAAAAAAAAAATGAGTCATGTGGTATTGTGGTAAGCTTTTCTACCAGTGGAGATGGAGAATGTTAAATCCATCAAGGAGGAAATCAACACTAGATAATCTTCATACAGACTAGAACACTACCCGTGGTGAACAAACATACCAGTCTGATTATTCTATGGGTGCAGTTACTCTTGTAGGAGGCCTTTATCTCAGGATTCCAGCTCCCCAAAGAAAAGCTTTTTAATTAATTACAAAAGCTTTGAAACAGAATCAGATTCTAAACTTAGGAAATCACACTTTATTTTTTTTAATGTTTATTTATTTCTGAGAGAGACAGCGTGAGCAGGGGAGGGTCAGAGAGAGAGAGAGATACAAAATCTGAAACAGGCTCTAGGCTCTGAGCTAGCTGTCAGCAGAGCCTGACGCAGGGCTCGAACCCATGAACTGTGAGATCATGATCTGAGCTGAAGTCGGACGCTCAACCGACTGAGCCACGCAGGTGCCCCCACACTTTTACTTCAAAACTGATGGCACTTTTAAAACTGGGAAGGTTATGTGGTGACTCCACAGATTAGATGTTTGTTTCTGCAGTTATCTATCCTCTATCCGGGCACTTTCAGAAAAATAAAATATCTGGCATATTTCCATGAAAGGCACTCAACAGGTCTTAACTTCATTTCAGGTGTGGTTGCAAATAAAATGACTTATTAAGCCACTATGGTATATAACACTGTTTTTCTCACTTCTGGAAGCAGATATCACTGGCTAGTTATGGACCCTAAGATGCTTGTCATTTCCCTAATCCCATATTCACTGCTTACTGTATTGTGATGTGAATATGAAGCCAATGACTTGATGTAACACACAGGTCTTCTATCCATCAGTTTTAACCTCCCCCTCAAGCTAACAGAACTAGATTAATTTCACCTTTCCCTTTACAGAGTGCTTTGAACTCTTAAATAGCCACAGACAAAACAGGAATAATGTACAACTTGGATAAATCATTCCTAATAATCAAAAACATGAACCCTGCAATCTGAAACTTAGTAATTACTTTTGGAAGTATTGAATTACTCCTACTCTGATTAATTTTTCTACTACCAAGGCAATCTGGTCTTGATAGATAAAGAGATGGACTGAGCATTTCCTTACCAAATCCCCAAACACTAGAATTTGAAGTATAAGAGATAAAATCTACTTCAGTAAAAAGGAATGACTAGTTAATAAGACAGATGATAAACTCACAAACCTTGTACTATATCATCTGTGAGGTGGAAAATACTGAAATAATTTTCTTAAATCATTTTCGAGCTACCATTGCCTCAAGAAGAATCAAATAAAGAAATTGCACAATGATCTTCCCCCAAATTATCCTTTTTTGTTTCTGAGAAGTGGTACAATGGAATGAGAGAGCCAGAGATCCGAAGCCAGACACCCTGGGTTCACAGCCTGGCTCCTCCACATGCTTGCTGGTGAGCCACGGGCAAGTTCTAAATTCCTGGGCTTCAGGTTGCCTCATTTTCCCTCCTCCATAAAAGGGCACTGGTACCAGCACATACCTGCCTCGTAGGCCTGTTGTGAAGAATGAATGTAAATCACTCAGATGGCAGTGTCTGTCTGCCTGGGCTTACTACCAGCTAAGGGCTCAAAAGATGCCAAGGATTTGGTTGTCTGACCCTCAAAAGAAACAGGCATTTCAAACTGCTGCCTGAAGATTCAGTGTGCAGTAGAAAAGACGTCTCATTTCAGTCACCAGACCTTTGGAAGAAGCAGAGGGGAGGTGAGACCGATGGCCGGGAGGAGGATCTGATCAGGCTGCATTTGGGTGGACAAACATACCTGCTCTATCTTGCAAGCAAAGCTCGCTGCGGAATGCTCAGCCTTCCATTCTAGTCGAATCAGCCTTCGACGTTGAGGTTGTTAGAACACTGTTAGAACACGTTTCGTTTCGATTTTCAGTAGCTCATACAAACTGAGGAAAACCTTTCGATAATGCCATTTGTTTCCATTCTTTGGCGTGGCTGGGCGGATAAAACCCTGAAGCGTGTCATTTGTGCGAAGCAAATGACGGTGGTTAGGAACAAAGGAGGTGGCCGCCCGGTTCCCACTGGCTCTGCTGCTTACCAGGTGTGCGACCTTAAGAGGCAAGTTGCTTCACGTCTCCACCTCAGTGTCCTTCTCTGTAAAACCTGGGTAATTGTTTTCTTAGGGGTTGTTTACAGGATTAAAGGAGTTAATTCACATAAAGCTCTTCGAAGAAGGGCCAAAAGAATAAGCACCAAAAAAGGTTATGATTATTATTAAAATCTATCAGTGTAAAACATTTCCTGGGCATTACTGACATAACTGTCTAAAAATACATCTGGATCCCACACAGGAAAAAAAAAAAGAAAGAAAGAAAAAAATCCTAAAATCTGAGATTTCCATGTTTTAGTTATTTGTATTGGTACCAGACACGAGGTAGGAAGAACAGATGCAAAGGAGGAAGTACAAGGATCACATCTTCATGCAATTAACCTGTTGCCTGAAGACTGGACCTTAAGCCAGAAAAGAAAATCACAAGGGTGATGACCTGGTAATATGTTAGAGGGGCTGTCAGACATCTGACAGGAACCGGACTAAATATTTTCACCGAACACCTCATTTCCATCTTCTGTGTGTAAGATTGCTCAACTTCCAAACGCTGAGTTTCTTCCCAAGTGATTTTTTTAAAAAACCAGTGGCATTAATAATGCTGATAATGGCAGCAGCCTTACCAAAAGGAAGCACAAACGTTGCTTCTCAGGACAGCCATCACCTCAGTAATTTTATACCAATTTCTCACAAACTGATAGCAAGCAAGCATAGTTTGCTTAGTTTACAGGGTTGAACTGGTGAGTTTTAGTTTGAAGAACTTTAAAGCCAGCCAGGTGATTGTATAAAATTTAAATTTTATGACCATGTTCGGACCTTTTTACATTCAGCACAATGGAAATGTTCATATACATTCTTTCCCCAAAGGAAAAATTTCTGAATCATCACTATGTTGCACAGTAGAATAAAAAATAGGAGTTCAGGTACTTATTCAAGTTGCTAAAGAATGCAAATAACAGACACACGTTTACTTCCCAAAGCTGAAGTCATCCACATGATTTTGTAGTACTGTATCTCAGGCTTCACTTAAAAAGTCATCATTATGCAGATAAAGAGAGCCCCCTGGTCACACTTTTTAGAAAGCCTCTGCCCCACCACAACTTCCTGAGATCTGTGAAGAAACTGCAGTCTTGTGATTAGGTTCCATAGAGCACGGGCAGTTCTGTAATCGTAGGGAAAAAATGGTGACCGATTTTACGTGTCAATCAGTTGTAGTCTGCTGATCTGATTAGACGCCTTGACAAACGCCTGGTGGCGATTGCAAATAACTGCCAGGCATATGGGGATAATACAATAGCCCACCGTTTTGGGGTCAGCTCTTGTACAAGAGTAAAGGAACAAAAACATCTGTAAGTAAGGGATCAGAAAAATAACCGTCCAGAACCAAAAAGGCAGGGAGAGCAACCGTGCTTTCAAGGAGTGTGTCCATGTGGTTCCTTCAAGGGGCTCTTCCGGGTGCTGCTGAATGTGCTCCAAGGCCAGCCTGTTGTAAGTCTCATTGATTTCAAAAACATAGTAAAACGCTGCTGCACTTGCTAACAAATACAATCCCACTCCAATCCATCCCATCCTCTGACGGAAGTTCATCATTCTCCATGCTCTGTGCCTTCAAATTAAAAAAAAAAAAATTACAAATCAGGGTCTAGAAACGCTGTCGTGGCAACTATTCCCCGCTAATGCATTTCAAGTTCAAAATCACTACATTTACATTTACTAAGAAACGTACACAACTCACAGCTTCTTTTATGTAATAATTACGAAGAAATAAAGTTTCAGTACATACGGAGAGCGCTTTTTATGTGACTCCCACAGGAAAAAAACAATCAAATCACTTTATCCGGCTTAAATGGGTCCAGCACAACTTCCCTTGAGAAACTGCAATGAAACTGGTTTCCTACGGAACACTTCGCTTTTATAGTTCCAATACTTCTCTGGCTTAAACAGCACTGTTTTGGACGTGAACACTCGATTCTCCCAAGTCAAACCGATGTCGGAGCCCCCAAGTTAAGACAGTAACTCTTAAACACTTACAATGGTCCCGAAAATCTTCCTGTTCCCACGGCAAGCGTTAAAGAGTCACTCTGTTCTGAATACTCGGGCGGTTTTGGCATTTCAGAGAAAGCCACCCTAAGAGAAATCCCCGGGGTCACCGGCTGGGAGAAACGGGAGCGCTGCCAGCCCGGAGCACAAGCTAATTGTGATTAAGCGCAGTGTGACCGCGGCCAGTCACGCGGCTGCCCGGCGGCCGGAGCCCCAGCCCGTGGTCACCCGGCGGGGCCGGGAGGCTCCCCAGCCCCCGGGCCTCCCCGGCAGCCGGCCCCGCCCCCCGCCGCGCTCCAGCGCCGGCGGCCGCGACCAGAGCTTGCGCGGGCGGCGCCGGGCCCGGGCCTCTCCGCCTCGCAGCGCCGGGAACACCGTGCCGGACAGCGGCCACCGGCCGAGCCTGCAGGGACGGGCAGCTCCCGGGTCTCACCTTCCTGTCCCGTTTGGCCCGCCCGCCCGCCGTCCCGGATGCTGCCACCGTCGGGACTTCCGGCTCGGACCGGAAGCGCGCGCGCTCCGCCCCGTCGTGACGCCGCACCGCCTCCCCGAGCGCCCGGCGCTGCTGTCACCTGCTCGGCGGGGGACGGGGACGGGGGCGGCAGGTGCGACCGCGCGGGTCCCGGCGCATCCCTTGCCGTGGGCGGCCGTCCGGGGCTGGCTTCTTCGGAACTCCTGGCGGAGCCCCCGGTGACCCTCCCTCCGAGCGGAGGGGAGGCCGGCCTCCCGCTTCGCCGGCGCGGGACGCGGGCACGGACGGCTGGATGGCGGAGAGGGTGAGACGGCCGCCTGCTGCAGGGGGGCCGGTGCGGGGCCTCGCGGGGCCGGGGTCGCTGACACCTGCAGCTAACCTGACTGCTTTGTCCTCGCAGGCCGCCGGTCGCGACGTTGACGGCACTTACCGGGGGTGCCGCAGAGAAACGCCGTGAATTGCGGGGGCGTCAGTGTCCAGGCCAAATTAGAATTTAACTCTGTTGATTTGGGCACCATGACGCTGAGACTTATAGAAGACTGGTGCAGGGGGATGGATGTGAACCCTCGGAAAGCGCTTTTGATTGCGGGCATCCCCCCGACCTGCGCTTTGTCGGAAATCGAGGAGGCTCTGCGGGCCGGCTTCGCGTCCTTGGGCGAGTACACACTGCTGGGGAGGATGTTCCGGCGGGTGGAGGGCTGTAATGTAGCCTTAGTAGGGCTAACTGAGGAGACCAGTCGTGCTCTGGTCCCCAAGGAGATACCCGGGAAAGGGGGTGTCTGGAGCGTGATCTTTAAGCCCCCGGACCCGGATAATGAATTTTTAAGCAGACTAAACGAATTCTTAGAGGGAGAGAGCACGACACTAGGTGAGTTGACCAGAGCCCTTGGATGTGGAAACGACCCTTTTGCCCTAGACCAGGGCAGGATCCCAGAAATACAGGCCCCTTTATTGGCACGGGCATTAGAGGAGGCCCTTCAGCCTGCCCTGCAATACCTGAAATACAAAAGGCTGCGAGTGTTCTCAGGCAGCGATTCTCCAGAACCAGGAGAAGAAGAGTTTGAATCCTGGCCGTTCCATACCGCTCAGATGATGAAGGCATGGCAGGTGTCCGAGGCAGAGAAAAGAAGGCGATTGCTAGAAGGCCTTAGAGGCCCAGCATTTGATGTTATTCGTGTCCTCAAGATAAGCAACCCTTCCATTACAGTCACTGAATGCCTGCAGGCCCTGGAGCAGGTTTTTGGGGTTATCCACAATCCTAGGGAATTGCAGGTCAGATATCTGACCACTTAGCAGAAGTCTGCTTAGGTACTACGGTTGGAGCCTTTATTACAGAAGCTGGTGGAGAGAGGAGCAGTCGAGAAAGATGTTGTGAATCAGGCCCGCCTGGACCGAATCTGCGCCGGGGCAGTGCACAGAGCGCGCCGCAGGAGGTTTGCTGTGCCGGAGGATGGCCCCGCCCCGGGGCCTGTTGGAATAACTGGCCCTGATAAAGGAGGAAGAAGCCGCGGAGGAGGAGGAGGAGGCCCTTCTCCAGGCAGGGTTAGGAGGGCATGTCTCCTGAGTCTTAGGAAGCCAGGCAGGGCAGTTGGCAGCAAGCAGAGCACGAAGGCAGAACGGTCATTGGAGCCTGTGATGGACGTTAATCAGTCCCTTCCTCGCGCTGCCGAGTAACTCACTGTGTACAGTTCTCAGTCCAAATCCTTTGTCGTTTCTGTGCCTCTTGAATGCCTCCTAAGTGTGTCATAGACTAGGATGTAGTTCTGCACCAGTGTTCATGTATTTACATTTACCCCTGTGAATTTGCCATACAAAACTGTGCAGAGGGTCTGTGCCTACATCTGTATGGTGCTCTTACAGGACAGGCAAGGCTCAGTTGCCTGTGCTGAACGCTGAGATGTCAGCTTCCATGGTAACAGGTGCAAGGATAGCATGCTGGATGTGATTATTCTAGATATTTCTTAGGTGTGTGTTGCTCTACATTTATTACAAAGATAGGAGCAGTGGTTAAGATACTAAGGTATCTTGTCTGAATCACAATTTTACTGATGCTGTGCAATCAAAACAAGAGGCAGAATCAAATGCTGAGGTTGATAAGTTTGTCAGCTGTCACCTCTAACCCCAGGTTTCTGATATGTGTCATCACAACATCCAGTGCTGAATGCCATTTTAATAGGTGTTATAAAGTGATCTATGTGAACTTGTAAAATAAAGGAATGCTAACAAAATAACCTTCTTTTAAAAAAATCTGTTTTATTTATATCAAGATTCCAAGAGCTGTTTCATCTGAATGTAGAGTTCCAGCAGTGCCTGAGCGGCTCAGTCCGTTAAGCATCCGACTTTGGCTCAGGTCATCATGATCTCACGGCTTTCCTGAGTTCGAGCCCTGCTTCAGGCTCTGTGCTGACAGAGCAGGGCCTGGAGCCTGCTTCAGATTCTGCATCTCCTCTCTCTGCCCCTCCCCTGCTCGTGCTCTGTCTTGCTGTCAAAAAGAAATAAAAGGACTCCAAAAGCATAAATCTGAAAACCACCGGGGTTACACAGTCTTTGTCCCTTGGATATTTTCCTCTTATTTCCCCTCCGAGGGGTGGGGATAGTTTTCTAAGTGAGATTGCCAAAGGGACCTTATATTGATGCACAGTGGAGAACAAGATCACACACAAATTACTGCATCAGTGGATCCAAAAGCATCCCTGTGTCAAATTCAGAGAGTGGAAGGAAAGAGGTGAAGGTTGTGTGCTTGTCCATGACAGACTGGATGAAGTTAATGCTTTCCTATGTGCTCTCTCATATAATCTTAAAAATCCTGCAATATAGGAAAAACTCAGTTTCTCACTTGTAGACATGGGCACAGAAAGGTTAAAAAAAAAGAATGCTTGCCCGAATGCTTACTAGCAAAACAGCTAGTAAGTGGTGGGGCAATCATAAGGAGATCTTCCCCTGACAGCCTCACAGGGGAAATACAGCAGATGTTAACCATATTTCATAAATGTCTTGTGTGCATTAGTGGAGAGTACATTGTTCTGAATCATTGCTGCAAAAGAGACGTTATTAGAAGTGGGGAGTATGAGAACCTGTTAAGTCCTAGGGACAGCCAGGAGGGTGGGCATGCGTTAGTGATTTGCTTCCTGAAAAAACAAACAAAAAATCACAGCATGAAGAAACTTTGAAAAGTAGAAGGAATGGGGCACCTGGGTGCCTCAGTCGGTTGAGCATCCCACTTCAGCTCAGTTCATGGTCTCACAGTTCGTGGGTTCGAGCCCCATGTCGGGCTCTGTGCTGACAGCTTGGAGCCTGAAGCCTGCTTCAGATTCTGTGTCTCCCTCTTTCTCTGACCCTCCCTTGCTCACACTCTGTTTCTCTCCGTCTCTCAAAAATAAATAAACATTAAAAATTAAAAAAAAAAAGTAGATGGAAGTCTTCCTCTTTAAGGGGTGGCTGGGTGGCTCAGTCAGTTGAGTGTCTGACACTTGATCTCTGCTCAGGTCTAGATCTCAGGGTTGTGAGTTCTAGCTCCATGCTGTGTGTGGAGCCTACTTAAAAAACGTGTGGGGGGCGCCTGAGTGGCTCAGTCAGTTAAGCCTCCGACTCTTGATTTTGGCTCAGATCATGATCTCACAGTTGGTGAGATCAAGCCCTGCATGGGGATCCGCTCTGACCGCAGGGAGCCTACTTGGGAGTCTCTCTTCCCCTCCCCCACTTGCATGGCGTGCATGCTCTTTCTCAAAATAGAAAAAAAAAGACTAAATATCCTGGTTTCATTCTTTATTAAGTCCTCCCACCATGGGAAGCTAAATATAGATCAAGCTATCATATTATACACCTTATATGTAATTTTTACTTGTCAGTTATACCTCATTAAGGTGAGAAACAAGAAGCTAAATAATAGAAGGCATAGACTAGATGAATTCAAAGGCAGTACTTTGTTTCCTTAGTACTAGGAAGTGCTATACCTGCATTTTGCTGATAAACAGGTGCTGCGTCCACACACAGGTGTTAACTATTCACTGTACCTCTCCTGTATGTAAGGCCCTGAGCTGGGGCTGTAGGACTATACAGTTAGACTTAGATTATAATACCTGCCACGGAGGTCTACCCAGACTTAATAACAGCAGACATCAAACGCTTGCCGTGGGCGCTGCTGAACACATTTAGTCCGACCATATTGAGAGGCAAGGCTTTTTGTTTTCTCCACTTTAAGATGAAACAGACAGAGAAGTTAGCTAACTTGCCCAGGTTTTCCCAGGTAACAAGTGGCAGAGTCCGGAATTACACTCAGGCCATTTATTTCCAGAGTCCTGGTCTATGCTGCCTGGTTAAAATCTCACAGAAACCTGTAGAACACACCATCATTTCCCTGTTTTATAAATGAAAAGCCTCGGGCTCAGAAAGGTTCAGTGCCAGGAACAAGGACTCAAAGTCTGACTCCAGAGAGCTTTTCTTAAGGTATTTTGACTTATGCATCTGGTAAATAGCACATAATTGTCAAAAATGGCAGTTATGTGTATGAAATCATGTGAAGTAGTGAAAATATGTTCTTTAAAAGCTGTGTTTCCGGTCCCCTGGGTGGCTCAGTCGGTTGAGCATCCAGCTCTTGGTTTCAGCTCAGGTCATGATCTCAGGGTTTCAGTTCAAACCCTGCATCTGCTTTACACTGGCAGCACAGAGCCTGCTTGGCATTCTTTTTCTGTCTGTCTCTCTCTCTCTCTCTGTCCCTCCCCTGCTCACACTGTATCTGACGCTCTTTAAGTAAACTTAAAATTCTTTTAAAGCTATGTTTCAGGGGCGCCTGGGTGGCTTAGTCGGTTAAGCGTCTGACTTTCGCTTAGGTCATGATCTCGCGGTTCGTGGGTTCGAGCCCCACGTCGGGCTCTGTGCTGATTGCCAGCTGAGAGCCTGGAGCCTGTTTCAGAGTCTGTGACTCCCTCTCTCTCTGACCCTCCCCTGCTCACGCTGTCTCTCTCTCTCTCTCTCCTAGAAATAAATAAAACATTAAAAAATTTTTTTAAAGCTGTTTCAAAAATGTGAACAACAAAAATCAAAATACTAAAAAGCTAACTAGTTGTATTGGGATGATGGCATTGTAAATATAGTTCCATTTTCTTTAGCTTTCTAAAAGTGTCTTTTCTTAATCTATATTTACTTATTTTTGAGAGAGAGTGAGAGAGAGCGCGCACAAGCTGGGGAAGGACAGAGAGAGACACACACAGAATCTGAAGCAGGCTCCAGGCTCTGAGCTGTCAGCACAGAGCCCGATGCAGGGCTCAAACTCACCAACTGTGCCAAATTCATGACCTGAGCTGAAGTGGGATGCTCAACCGACTGAGCCACCCACACGCCCCTAAAAGTGTTTTTTTTTTTAAGTGAGCCCAAAATGAGGCTTGAACTCATGACACCAGATCAAGAGTCAACTGAGCTAGCCAGATACCCCTAAAAGAGTTTTTTTTAAATGAAAAATAAATATGCAAAGAAAGTGCTCAAAAAACAAAAGGAAGGTAGAATGCCAGCGACACAACAGGAACCAGCCTGAAAGAGCTCCCATTGGCGAAAGCTACAATTCGAATAAAATGAATAGCACAGCATTGGGTTATTACCCAAAGTATAAAATAGATATCCACATGTTCATGCCGATATGAATACATGACTAAATACATACATGCTGGAGAAGAGTCAAATTTTCCTTCATTCAATTTCAAATCATTTATGTGGATACGCCCCCTTCAGGAGGTGGAGTTTATTCCCTTCTCCCCCTTACGTGTGGGCTGAATTTGGAATGGAGTATGGAAAGGGAGAAATAGTCACTTTTCAGCGGAGAAACCTGGCAAGTACTAGTTTGGCTAATTAACATCAATGCTAACGTCAGAGAACGCACAATTTGCTCTAATTAGAAAAATACCAGACAAACCAAAATTAAAGGCTATTCTACACTCTTCAAAACTGTCAAGATCAGGGGCGCCTGGGTGGCTCAGTTGGTTAAGCATCTGACTTCGGCTCAGGTCATAATCTCCCGGTTCGTGGGTTCGAGCCCCACGTCGGGCTCTGTGCTGACAGCCAGCTCAGAGCCTGGAGCCTGTTTCAGATTCTGTGTCTCCCTCTCTCTCTGACCCTCCCCTGCTCCTGATGTCTCTCTCTCTCTCTCAGAAATAAATAAAACAATAAAAAAATAAAAAAAAACTTTCAAGATCATGAAAAACGAGGAAAGAAGGAGAAACTGTCACAGACCAGAGGAGCCTAAGGAACCATAATGCCTAAATGGAACACGGTATACTGGGAGGGCTTTTGGAACAGATAAAGAACTTTAGTGGAAAAGCAAAATCTGAAATAGTCTGGAGTTTAGTTAGTAGTAATATATCAATGTTGGTTTCTTGGAGGTGACAAATGTACCATAGTATAATGTAAGGTGTTAACGATAAGGGGAAACTAGGTGTGTGTGTCTATATATCTCTGTACTATCTTTGTAAGTTTTCTGTAAATCTTAACTATTCTCAAATAAAATGTTCATCAAGAGGCACCCAGCTGGCTCAGTCAGAAGAGATCATGAGTTCGAGCTCCACAATGGATGTAGAGATTACTTAAATAAAGAGATTACTTAAATAAACAAACTTAAAAATAAAATATAAGCGTCCCACTTCGGCTCAGGTCATGATCTCATGGTTTGTGGCCTCAAGCCCCGCGTCGGGCTCTGTGCTGACTGCCAGCTCAGAGCCTGGATCCTGCTTCAGTATCTGTATCTGCCTCTCTCTCTGACCCTCCTCTGCTCATGCTGTCTCCCTCTCTCTCTCTCTCAGAAATAAATAAAACATTAAAAAAAATAGAATAAAATATTCGTTGAAATACATACACAGATACTTGGATATATACACAAGCTAATAACAAATGACCTGGCATGCCAACCAGTGAAATAAGTCACTAAGGAATGAATAACTGGAGTGCCCGCCCTTCCTAAAGTTGGTTATTCATCTAAACACCACCAGGTGGCAGTAAGTAAGTACTAAGAGTAGTGGGTGGCCGGCCAGGCAAAACAGAAAGGGATTATTTCTTTTCTTTTCTTTTATTTTATTTTTTAATTTATTTCTAGGAGAGAGAGAAATGCTCACAGCGTGAGCAGGGGAGGATCAGAGAGAGAGGGAGACACAGACTCTGAAATAGGCTTCAGGCTCTGAGCTGGCAGTCAGCACAGAGCCCGACGCAGGGCTTGAACCCACGAACCACAAGATCATGACCTAAG